TGTGTGTGTGTATGGGGGTGTGTGTCTATGGGGGTGTGTATGGGGGTGTGTGTCTATGGGGGGTGTGTATGGGGGGTGTGTGTCTATGGGGGGTGTGTGTGTGTGTGTGTGTGTCTATGGGGGTGTGTGTGTGTGTATGGGGGGTGTGTGTGTATGGGGGGAAGGTGTGTGGGGGAGGTGTGTGCGTGGGGGGAGTGTGTGTGTGTGGGGGAGGTGTGTGTGTGTGTGTGTGTGGGGGGAGGTGTGTGTGTGGGGGAGTGTGTGTGTGTGTGTGGGGGGGAGTGTGTGTGTGTGTGGGGGGAGGTGTGTGTGTGTGGGGGGAGGTGTGTGTGTGTGGGGAGGTGTGTGTGTGGGGGAGGTGTGGTGTGTGTGTGGTGTGGGGGAGAGGTGGGTGTGTGTGGTGGGACCGCTGCCTGTTCGTGAGTTGCTATTTGTTGTTTCCCATGGTTTCCCCTTTATTGTGTTCTATTCCTGTGTTTTACCTGCTCCCCGTTCGGGAGAGCCTATACGAATGAGTTCAGTTCGCCTCCCGAATGGGACCACCACGAAACCTCATTTAGAATGTTGTCTTAGAACGTTCACACCTCGTAACGAGGTGTCAAAACCACAAGGGAAGCCTCAGCGCATGCAGACCTTGGGTGGCGGCCCGTTAGACAAACGCCATCTAGGGGGAGCATTCATGAATTGCTTCCCACCTCGCTTGGTTCAGGCCAATCCATTAGAACGTTGGCAACTTGCAACATAAGTGTGAAACCGCAAGTGAAGTAATTGAGTGTTTCCCTGGGCAGCCAGGGGGAGCATTCGTGTCCCAAAAGGAGACACTTCCCAGGGACCCCAAGAGCAGAGTCGGTTACCTGAGATTAGCGGGGACACTCACTTGGGGTAATGGCGGTTTGGCAGGCTTTCTGTAGCTGGGAGTCAGAGGCGGGAAACTTTCCCACGCTAGGACTCCCAGGTACAGAGGCTCGTGGGTAAAAGATCCCCTGGTCACCAGAGGTGGGAAACCCTGAGGATAGGTGGCAGGAACCTGGGAGGGGGCACCGAGTGGCGGGAACAGGGGACAAAGCGATTGGGGTTCTGGTTCCGTAATGCAACCCCCTGTAGGGGGAGGACCCTGGAAGGGGACATTGTCATTGTGTGTGAGATCCACCCCTTGCATGGAAAAAGTATAAAGCAGAGTATGGCCAATAAAGTTGTGTTGTACCACCAGGACTGTGTGTCGTCCGGTTACTGGGTGGGAAATGGGTCTCTCTGTGTTATAGCTGATTCCCTTCCAGGAACAAGATGTGGCTGAGCAAGGACAACCAGTCGGGTTGTTGGCAGGTCCGCTACATTCTGTGTGTGTAGTGTGGGGAATTATTGGGTGTTGGAGGGCAGATAAATATATACTTTTTTTTTAAATTTTTAAAATCCTTTTATTTTTTTTTATTTTTTTTTTTTTATATCCCCCCCTCCCTTCTTACCTTTGCTGAGGGAGGGGAGGATATTTCATGCAATCCCTGGTGGTCCGGTGGAGAATCCCTGCAGCCATGCAGGCTGAGCTCCCGGGTCCACTCTACCTCCCCTGCCGGCAAAGTGCCTGCGGACTGGTGAGTGAGATCTCTGGTATGGGAGAGCAAGGCACTGTTGTTTCTCGGGGGGTCCCCCGGATCCGCCAGTGCTGCATGGTTACCAGACTCTAGGTTGCCTAAATGAAGCTGGACGTCCTCATCTTCTACATGAGGACATTCAGTGCCAGTGAAAACCCAATAGGAAAGCATTCATTCAATGCTTTCCTATGGGGAGGGCCTATGGCGCTTGCCTCGCATGTGCACTAGGCCCTACCCGTCAGAGAGACATAGGTGCTGAAATAGGGTGAGTAAATAAGGTGTTGGCTTTTTTTTTTTTTTTTAAACCCTGATTGGAGCGGAGGGGGACCAGAGTGCACTATAGTGTTAGTAATACAGCTGGAACTCTTGAGCTGCTCCTGTCTCAGATAGAAAGGCGGTGGGGGATAGACCTTTGCTCGCTGCCCACTACTAGTCACATACGTGAGTCATAGACTTGGTGTGTTTAAGAAAGCCATTGGCATCCTTCTCTTTTGGGCTTAGATTAAAAGAGCACTGCAGGCAACATAATATCTTAATCTGAATGAAGTTCTTATAGTGCCAGGAGGCCACAATGCACACTCTTACTTCAAGGGCTTACACCTTTCTCCAACTGTTTAACCCTAAAGTTGCCTCCAGCGCCGATCTTAACTCACCCCAGGCTGCATCAGACTTCTGAATTTTCAGTAAGTGTGAAATGCTGCTGGGCAGGAGCGTTGCTGATTGGATGAGAACGGTGCACTGACGATCTCAGCCAATCATGACTCCCCATTCACAGAACCGACTTGAAAAGAAAAATCTATTTTTGAAGCCAGTTTTGTAAATGGGGAGTCAAATATATACACCCCACTTACCTTTTTATGAATTTGCTTGAGTTTGGTATTTGGTGTATTAACCCCTTAATGGATGGTGCACCTGTATTGACAACACCTTCTATTTTTTCTTTATGTTCCACAGAGAAAGTGACCAAGATTCAAGTTCAGACTCCTTGGAATTAGCAAGCAACGTATGACCCCAATTGAGCACTTAATGAACGTCTACAAGAACACTCTGTAGAGAGTACAGTTGTCTTAAAGGGCTAAGTACTGGCCATAACTTCTATGTACTGTACATTTGGGACCAGGATCCCTCCAGGGGCTTGAGGTGCTCCCACTGGTGCTATGTGTTTCTGGCACAAACTGAATGCTGCAATTCTACTGAATGGTGAACTAACATAGGGCAATTGTATTCATGTAACTGTAAATTTCTCTAGTGGTTTTGAACATAAGGATTTCTTCCCACAATATGGGGAGCTTAGTTGTCAACGCAGTGTGTAGTTTACTTCTGAGAATTCATTTATTTTATTTATTAATTTTTTTTTTTTTAGTGAAACGAGTTTTTGTGTCAAATGGTTTATTATTATTATTATTATTATTATTATTATTGTTGCCAAATGCTAACTTCCAGCTGTATGTATGTAAAATTGGTTTGTAATACATGTGGATGTGTTTAAACACAAGCTGTATTTGTGCATGTAGCACATTAAAAGAATTGTGCAAAATGCAAATAATATATTTGCATGCACACAAACATGTACATGTGCCTTGTTGAATAATACAGGATTCACTAAAAAATCTAAGTGAATTTCACATTTTAGGCCGTAGTAGCTGTACTGAAAACCTTGATTTTATTTTTCAAGTTCAGATGTCTTGGCCCAAAATTTTACGTTCCAGTCCGTTCTAAATTTAGTGAATATCCCTGACCGTGATTTATGCATTAACATGTTGTGCAAAAAAATAAAAAAATAAAAATTTCAAAACCATAATAATAATAATAATAATAGAAATGCAATTCATGCACAAATTATATGGAAAAAAGGTACAAAATATCTATCTATTTAAATGGCACAAAAACAGACCAGTTTAGAATAACTAGTGTAGAATATTTTTGTTGCAGTACTTTTAAAACGTAGGGGGTCTAAAAACAAATAGCGTGTTGAAAGTTATTAAATGCCAAGTTATGTGTTGCCAGCCAAAGCACTGATATTGCAATTGTGACTTTTTCCCAACTTTGCTATTTTTAACTAGATGTTGTGAGTTTTTTTTTAAACTTTTTTTCACAACTCTGTTTGAACAGACCCCGCACTAGTGATACTCTGCATCAGAGGTAAAGTTCTGATTTCTTTAAAAAAGAATATACAGCACTTAAAGCATTGATATATGATCAGAAAACACCCTCGTCTCGCAATGTCTTTCAGCTTAGAAGCCAGTGATACACTATTAAAGAAATAAGCATATGTTTTTACATCTTGGCATACGACCAACAATGGCAGGTTGTGAATGGTGAATTTATAGATTTTTGATGGTGTCCGCTACGTGTGGTCAGTGGCGGATCCAGAGCCTGATCTCGGGAGGGGCACTTGTAGATTATTTAAAGAAATAATCCAGACACAATAACCACTACAGCCCAGGGTAGTGGTTATGGTGTCAATAGTGCCGGGACCCCCTCCCACAGTAAGTAGTCAAACTGGTTAAGAACAGTTTGACAACTTACCTGACATCTGCTGGGAAATGGGGCTGTAGTAGAGCATAGGAGCAGTGGTGTATGTGAGTGGTGCAATGTGTAAGGGTGCAGTGTGTGTGTGAAGGTTGTAGTGTGTGAGTGAGGGAGGCTGAGTGTATGTCAGGGATGCAGTGTATGTGTGGGACAGTATGTGTGTGTAACAGTTGCAGTGTGTGTGTATGGGGGGCAGTGTGTGTATATGGGGGGCGCAGTATGTGTGTATGGGGGGCAGTGTGTGTATGGGGGCAGTCGTGTGTATGGGGAGCAGTGTGTGTGTATGGGGCGGTGTGTGTGTGTGTATGTGGGGGCAGTTTGTGTGTATGGGGGCAGTGTGTGTGTGAATGGGGGTTTGTGTGGATGGGGGCGGTTTGTGTGTGTGTATGGGGGGCGGTTGTGTGTATGGGATTTGTGTGTATGGGGCAGTGTGAGGTGTGTATGGGGGCAGTGTGTGTGTATGGGGGCAGTGTGTGTATGGGGGGGGCAGTGTGTGTATGGGGGCGGTTGTGTGTGTATGGGGGCAGTTTGTGTGTATGGGGGGCAGTATTGGGGCAATGTATGTGTGTGTGTGTGGCTTTTTTTTTTAATAAAATATTTTTTTTTAAATTTAATTCGAATTTAATTTTTTTTATTTAATTATTTATCCGAAATATGTCCCCCCTCCCTTCTTACCTTTACTGGGGGGAAGGGGGGACATATTTCGATCCCTGGTGGTCCGGTGGGGGATTCATTGGTGGTCCCAGTGTGGAGAGTGAACTCTAGCCCGCGCTCCCGGGCTAGAGTTCACTCTCGCGAGATTTGGAGCGTTGCCGTGGTAACCGCGGCAACGCTTCAAATCTCACGAGAGGAGGACCCGGAGGAGCTGCAGACTGAGCTCCGGGTCCTCTCTCTCACTCCCTCCCTCCCCTGCCGGCTCTCAGCACAGTGCCTGCCATGCTGGCAGGGGAGGGAGAGGGAGACCGGCGGATTTCTCGGGGGGGGCAATTGCCCCGTTGCCCCCCCCCTCGATCCGCCACTGCGTGTGGTCCATCCTTTTTTGCAGATTGTGAATTAAGTTTACATTGACCGAGTAAGATAATAAATTAACGGAGGTTTGTGAGCCTGCAGATACAATAAAGCGCACATAACTAAAGAACATTATCATGAAACTACAGTGTTTTTGTTTTGTGTATGTAACTGTGTTGCATAGAATAGTGTAATATTGCAAAACACAATTGTGGATGTGTTCTGCTTATAATCTGTTTGTCTGCAGCATGATCATGACCTTTGTTTATTCCTTGCTTAAAACGCAATATTGCAACTTCTGAAAGACAGAATCTGGAGCGATTTTCTTACACTACAAGTCTTCTCGTTAGACCTGGGCCTTCTACTGTTCAACGGAAGAAAGTAACATATTCAGAAGTTGCTTTGTTATGAATTCTGACCACCTTATTGATGTAAAATGTATTTACCAGCAACATAGGCTGTGCTTGATGTTAAACACATTTTTTTCAGAAGTGTCTATTAAGCAACCTAATGTATAGCTTAAATGAATTTTATTTAAAAAAAAAAAAAAACATAACACTTGGAGAAGACAAAGCACCGTTTTGGATTTATTCCCTAGACTATGAATTATGGCAAATTTACCCAATTGTGGGTTTTTGTTTGTTTTTTTTCCCCATACACTGCAATTTGTTTAGTGAATAAGTCCCTAGGTCAATTCCTTTATCTCGGAATCTGTGAATATATATAGTGGCTGATGAAATATTTTAAATTGTTACTTTATGACAAACAATGCTTGTGTATATGTAATACAACTGGATTTCCATGTCTGACTTTTTTAATATGTATATCGGTTTCATGTGCCATATTTATTGAACATCAAACAAAAATTGTATATATTTTTAGAGCATTATTCATGCTCACAAATAAAAACCTTTGACACACTTTCTTGTGTCTGTGTCTGCATGACTGAATAAAGGCTACTATTTTTGTCTTCCATCACATATGCTACACAGTGAAATTAATGCTTTCAGTACCACAGTAGAAGCGGTATGGAATTTTAAAAGGGGAAAAAAAAAAAAATCTACTTGACTGAATTGGTAGCCCAGTCTTCTGGTTCGTCATGACCATCTACTTGTCCTGACACAAAATAACATCAATTACAAAGATTGGGGCTTCTGCCGAGAGCCGTGGACATTGACAGGGCTATTTGCTAAACTCTTTTTCACAAATTAAATCTGAGTGGAAAAATGGAGGCAAAAACAGCAGATCTGGAAATATCCTCTAACTTTGCTATAGCTAAAATAAGAGTATTTTTGCTTCAGCTTTGCCATTTTCATCTATTTAGCAACAACGTGTTATTAGTGATTTACCCTGAGTCTAGTCTCTCTCTTTGCTATAGTGTGTGTGTGTGTGTGTGTGTGCGCGCGCGCGCCCTGGCTGTGTGTGTATGTATGTGTTGGGTTGTATAGTGTGTGTGTGTTGGCTTTATTTTAAAGTAATGCGATTTCAGATTTTTATTCTCTCTAGTTTTGAGTATTTATGCATGTATAAGTGATGCTTCTAATATATACACATGTAAGTATTAGTATAACACAAGTGTTTATATGCACAATACTCTTAAGAGTTAGTGTATATATTGTTGCATTTTTGTTTTTAAACTTTTGTCCTCAATGGTACCCATACACATTTTACAAACTCACACAATTTACTCACAAACTACATCTGACCCACGTATTGTACAGTCCCATTCAGGGCTCGAGTCCTTCAGGAACGCATGGGGAACGGCGTTCCTGCACTTTTTCCAAAGCAGGAACGCCGTTCCCGTTACCTGTCCTGCAGGACCGGCCCTGCTACCTGCACTGAGGGGCCATCACACGCTGTGTTCCCCCTCCAGCTCTAACTCTCGCGAGACCCGCGGCTGTTACCATGGCAACGCTCCGCACAGGCGAGTCTCGCGAGAGTTAGAGCTGGAGAAGGAACACAGCGTGTGATGGCCCCTCTGTGCAGCGGCTGGTTCCCTCCAGCATACCACCGGACCACCAGGCGATCTACCCCCTCCCTGACAAGGTAAGAAGCAGGGAGGGGGGATAAAATAAAAAACTATACATCCACATAAAGTAAAAAAAAAATGCTTCCCCTCCCCATCATCCAGCACACATACACTCACACACCCATCATCCAGCACTCACACACACATCATCCAGCACTCACACACACATCATCCAGCACACACACACCCATCATCCAGCACTCACACACACATCATCCAGCACACACACACATCATCCAGCACACACACACATCATCCAGCACACACACACACACATCATCCAGCACTCGCACACACAATCATCCAGCACACACACACACAATCATCCAGCACTCACACACACATCATCCAGCGCACACACACACATCATCCAGCGCACACATCATCCAGCACTCGCACACACATCATCCAGCACTCACACACACGTCATCCAGCGCGCACACGCACACACTGCATTCATTATACACACTCTTCACTCACTACAAACACACTACATTCACTATACACCCTCTGCATTCACTATACACACTCTGCATTCATTATAAACATTCTGCACGCACTACACACTACATTCACTATACACACTCTGCATTCATTACAAACACACTACATACGCTGCATTCATTGTACACACTGCACTCACTACAAACACACTAAATTCATTATACACAATTTGCACTTACTACAAACACACTACATTCATTATACACACTCTGCACTCACTACAAAAACACTACATTCACTATACACACTGCATTCACTACAAACACACTACATTTATTATACACACTGCACTCACTACAAATACACTACATTTGTTATACTCACTGCACTCACTACAAATACACTACATTCATTATACACACTCTGCACTCACTTAAAACACACTGCATTCATTATACACACTCTGCACTCACTACAAATACACTACAATTATTATTCACACTGCACTCACTGCAAACACACTACATTTATTATTCATACTCTGCATTCACTACAAACACACTACCTTCATTATACACACCCTGCACTGCACTATATGCATAGGAGTGTAATTTAAAAAAAAAATTTTTTAAGGGGGTGGGGGGGGAGGCGGGAATCTTGGGTGAGTTCCCACACCTTTTTCCCCAGGACTTGACCCCTGGTCCCATTGCATTTTTCACATTATCGCAGTCTTCATAATCCTGCTCTCAGCCTGCAGCGTGTCCATGCACTCTGGATATGTTGGCTCCAGTATGTGACATCATGCAGTATGCCAGCGACCATCAGTTCTGAGCACCGCGAGGTGTGGCTGCTGCTCCTCACACCTTCCTGTGCCTGGTGGTCTACTGCGACCCCTAGCTGGCTTTAGGTAACCGCAGCCATCGTATCAATCTCCCTCCCGCTTGCACTGACCAGGGCTAAAGCAATAGCAAAAATGTAGAACATATAACGTTTGAGAGAGAAGAACTCTCTCACCGAAGTTGCGATGGTTGTAGGCTAGAAAAGGGCATTACCCTGGGAGAAGATGATCGGAAAGGGCTGAGACAGGATCTGCAAAGAAGCAGAACCAAAGTCAGTCTTACTACACTAATTTGTGATTGTTGGAGTAGAATGTAGGTGTAAAGTGCCCTAATTCTAAAATCACAAAAAAACTATAGAATAAAATAACTTTATTTCTTAATAAGGTACACACATCTCAAACACAACAATAAAAGTGAAAAATAAGTGAGAAAAAGTGGATCAAAAAATACCTAAAAAAAAAAAAAAACCTCCTGAAGCTGAATAGTACAGGTTGTAAAAGTCCTGTTACAAAGTAGCCCGTAGGGGGTACTGTTCTGTACTGAACATAGAAACAGTATCCTCAGATGGGACTATGTTATGTCCTGCAAGTTGATACACTCAGGCAAACCCTATTAGTACAGAGAACCAATTGGCGTGAAAGTATGGGTAGCCTAAGGTAGATAACATTGCCTGTATTGCTCTAGATATGGGATGTAGGTAGGAGAGAATACTTTGGGAAATCCAAAATATATCCCAGACAAACTAGTATAGAGGTCGGTAAAATAATGATGGAAAGATTGCAATAGGACTCCTATTGTATTATCCTTTATTTCACCTAGATATTAGATTTAGCATGTGACTTAGAATATTCCCCTAATAGTCATAAAGGGTGAGTATCTATTGTAACAAACCACCTCTTTTATAGGTAGGATTGTCACAGATCTTGCAGTAACCACAGCCTTCTAGGGTATACAAAGTCCAGGACACATTCAGCTTGGTTTTCCTTTTTATTCAATAAGAAAACAGGTGCTTTAAATAATAACAAAACAAACAAAA